GAAAAAATATTTAATCTTACCATATACAATATATACAATCTGGTATTTTCTATTCTGTTTCTTTGTTTTAAAATTCTGAAATAGCTTACTAATAGATTACAACTCATAGATTTCAACAAAGCATTGGCTGAGTAAAGGCTTTCAAATAGAGACGACAAACCAAATACACACATTTATCACCTGTCCCTTCAGAGATCTCATTAAAATGATAATAAATAAATGAAATGGCAAAAACCCACAAAGACAAATCACACAGCAGATAGTAGACTTTAACCGGTTTTTAGAGGACAGGCCAAGTCTCCATTACAATGAGTAACATAAAAACCCACTACAGCAGGCAATTTTGGTTGCCTTATTCTTCCCTGTAATACAACTCACATTTAATGTAAAATCCCCATATTTCACTGCTAAGTCATGTTGTCAGGAAACCCAGTTCCAGGAAGTAAATCTTGGTTAGTCTAAGGCAATCCTACTAATTTTATTCCCCTTTTCCAGTAATTAGTTTAGCAAGGGGCATACCACCTAATTTTGGATGTGGGGCCATAAGAGAAAGTCTACCGAGGATGGAATTAATTCCGGGAAATATTCCACAGTTTTAAAAAGAGTCAGAGAATGAGCTAGTCTCATCTTCTGCCTCTGGAATATAGGCTGCTGCAATTTTTTCCCTATGAAGGGAACTACCCAGTGTACTCTGGCAGAACAGAGAGATTTTTAAAAACCCGGGTCCCTGATGATATAATTCAGCCACTAAGTTAATCAACCTCTGGACCACCTTGTCTCTGGATTTCTTACTATGCAAGATAAAAAATCAACTTGCAGTATGAGCCACATTTGGTGGGGTTTTCTTTATTTTGGCAAAGCGTCCTAACTGATACACCAAAGCACATCATCATAAAATTCCACCACATGAGGGACAAAATTGAGGAACCTAGAACTTCCAAGAAGGGAACAACTAGGTCATATTCAAAGCAACAAGAATGAATATGGTATTGGACTTTGAGCACAGCATTGGAGGCTAGAAGAAAATAATCAGTGCTCCAAAGTTTAAGAGAGAACAATTTTCTACCTTGAATTCTACAATCAACCACACTTGATCATCGATAAAGAATGAAAACATAAAAGCATTTTTAGACATATAAGGACTAAGAAAATTTATCTTCTGTGTATCTCTTCCTAGGAGCTAGAAGTTGATGGGTTTCAGGAAAAGAAAGG